TCACATTTGAGTAAGTTGGTGTTCGCGCATGTTCTGGCATAGTTGCGAGGCAGCGCAACCCGCCGTGCCTTTCGTGGCAGTGCCGTTGACTATGTGCTCCAGGCCCTCCAGCCCAGGAATTGACACGACGTTTCCTGGCACAAACTCCGCAAAATGGCTACATGGCTGCGCTGGAACGGTGCCCTCGGCGAGGGTGGGACCGCACTGCGACTGCGCCCTCTCTGCGATGTGGACGGCCTGACTCGTCCACCCAGCCCATCAAGGAGAGCCTAAGGGCACTGACAGGTCTCACAAAGCAACCGAGAAAAGACTCAGCAGAGATCTCCCACGGCATTCGTGTATGCTGCGATCGAGAGGCCAGTTCTTCATGGCGACGCGCGAGTCCTGGCCAGGCCTGCCAATTCAGTACTGGAATGCAGCTGGAATGCTCTAGTCTTTCCTTCGCATGTATCCTGCATTGTGTACATCCACCCTCACATGTGATATCACTTACTTAAGCAGCTCTAAGGAAGTGTAGATGCCGGTCAGCCAGGAGAGTTTCGATTAGCATGAGTACTGAACCAAGTCCTCACCTGAAGCATGCCAGTAGCCGAACGATGTCCTTAGCTTGCACTGCGCTGGCAACGCAGCCCCTGGGTGGGGTTGCGCTCAAGATGCATAAGTCTTAGCTATTGTGAAAAAGCCATTCCCTACGAGAACACGCTAGGAGTACCTCAGCTGCGGCAAAGCCTAAACTCCTGCGACCCAGTGGCCGACTTCTCTTTATCGGCAGTCGCGTTCCACCGTTCTATGAGGCCTTGGCTCTGCTGCCAAGAGCCGAAACGCCAGACTCCTAAACACAAGACGGAAGAGCTTCGCTTTGCAATTCAAGTCGCTCAGAATCTCTGTCTCTGTGACTATGGGCAAGCGCTCAAAGTTCAAGATTGTTTCCTGGGCAACTCGCGATGCAGCTCTTGCTGTGCCGGCTTGGGGATGAAGGCTGCAAAACTCTCTTAAACATCATTGTGCCTTCAGCCTCGCAGCCAAGCAGCTACAAAGTAAACGGGCAAGGAACCTGAGCTATGCAAGGATCCGGTATGTAGATGAAACGAACAATGGAGGCGCCCTCACACGAGGGCGACAATGTGCAAACCCAGCAACACCATCGAGGGTCCCTCGTGACAGCCCGGAACTGGTCTCGGCTGGACACCATCTCGCTGGCTAGCCTTGGTTTGGACGGAAGCCATGCCATCAAGTCTGCGTTTGCCCGATCAAATACCTGCTGCCGACTCTGGCCTCTAGCCTACAGAGCAAAGGCAGCTTTTCCACAGCTGAAGACAAGCCGCGTCGTGATGAGGACCTCGGTCATGGAAACTCGAAGCCCAGCCCAGAACGAGGAACGTGCAGCAACTGCACTCGTACACCCTGTCGTCGGTGAGTCTGGCATGAGCCCTGCACGTCCCTGGAATGTTCCTCTGTAGCCCGGTGCTCATAGTGCTGCAGATGGTAGAACCTGATGTCTCGGCACTGGCAGAAAGTGGCTCAACTCATGAGCATAGTTGCAGTTTGTCTCGATCAGATGGCCTTCTGGTGACTTCTGTTTTCACATGAGTAGAAGTTCTTGCAAGCCCTTCACGCAGCACCAGCCATTCATCTACGCTGGAACTCGAAAGCACTGGGCGACTGCGTCCGTCCCTGGAGCTTTCTTTTGTATGTATTTCATCGCAAAGCCGCAGCTACACAAGAAGCGACGTAGGAGCGAGATCGAAGTGGACCTGCATGATTTCTGCTGGGGCCATAGCGCATCTGCAAAGTTGAGCTCGCCGACCACAAAGAAACTCCTGGATGCGAAGCCGAATGTTAGCAACTCGAAGGAAACTCCAAGTTCAGGAGCTCCTTCTGCCGAACCAGTTCAGCAAGTTCTCGTACAGGGCATCCACCGAGAAGCGCTCAGCTTCAAAGCCTGGGGAGTTGGATCGGAGTTTGGATTTTCTGCATGACTGAATTGAATTTGGACACCCGCACATGTGTAGCAAATGCCTTGATTCTTCTCTTCACGACGTGAGGGAACCGTAGCGAGCCCCTTGTTTGTGGTACGTGCAGACCGGCGGTCTCTGACGATCCGCAACCGAAGGTCCGAAGGTCCGGTGTGGAATGGTGCGGCGATTGTTCGGGCTCGTCGACTTGCATTCCCCACTGTTGAGGTATATAGGTTTCTAAAAACTCATAGTCTGAATCTGAGGCTTCGGAGACAAAGGATTTGGAATCTGCATCCTGCACACGGCAAACCGGAGAGTGATCAATGAAATCTCTGACCGAGATGCAGATAGCCAGCATCTTTTGAGTCAAGACCTCATTGGCCTCCACAAAATCCCCGAAAGGAAAGAATGCCCACACAGGTCGCAACATTTTCGAGACTTGCGAGCTAGACTGTCTCTCCAGCCCCCTCACACGGCCTTGTCGTTGTCTGCCACCTCGTGGAAGAACGACATCTCACCTCAAGTTCGGCCAGTGCAAGGCCAAAGGGTTCGACTGGATCATGTTCATGTTGTCGTGCTGCAACTTCTCCACGGAGCCAACAACCATTCCGAGCGCATGGCCACAATAGATGAAACGCAGCAGCTCTGCCATGAGCTCCTCGTGAGAGAGCAACAGCAGCAACAACCCATAACAACTCCTAGCCATAATATGACGATCAGCAGTTCAACGCGCATCAAGTGTGCTGACTTGGCCCAAGTTGCACAGTCGCACTGGATCTCATATCTTTCCTCATCGCCACTGCAGTGGTACGCCGAACATGTTGCCACCATGACCAACATTTAAGCCCATACCTAGCTCCTCAACGAAGTTTAGTTGCAAGCCATGCAGCCGCCAGAAAAAAAGGGTCAGCACCTGGAGAGTTGAAGCAGCTCGCGAGTAATGCAATTTTCATTGGCACTTCTACGAGTGGCGGCCTGGGCAGGGAGATCAGTTTCAAACTACTGTATGGTCGGCAGGACTATTGACCGCTGAGATGCGCTTGTTCGTGCCGATCGTGCCGCCGATGAAATGTGCCGTCGAGAAGCCTCAGTCGGCGTGCGACCGTCTGATGCTGTGACCTGCGAAAGCTCGAGAAAATCAACAAGGGAAGGGAACACCTTCTCAAAGGGCGACAGCTGCATGTCTTCTATTGGGCAAGCAGCCAGGCTTCATGGCATCATCTCGCTTTCCAGCTATTGTGGCGGTGATCCCCCCGGCTAAGACCTCGACGCAGGTGCTTTGAACGCTTGTTGCGGTCTCGTGATTGCGAAAGAGAGCAGAACTCGTGGCAAAACACAGAAGTCTGCCGGGACGAGTGGCAGATCTGTCGATGGGCTGCGAGAACTGGATGGACTGCAAATCTTGCAGCAATCGGTGATAGCCTTAGTGAGCAGTATGCACAATTAAGGTGCCGTCATACACAAAAATCAGGTTTTTTTTCACATGCGTGGTTGGCATTGCCTCCATCGAAACTGAAAGCCGCCGTCGATCGGTCTTGAAAGCAGAAGACATCTTCAAAAAACAGACCGAGCTTGTCTTCTGTGGGACGGCTTTCTGCACCCAACAATATTGTACCTTCGACTTGCCTTCCGAGGAACCCATAGCCTTGAAGTACTCCTTTGGCGCCGGGATGTCATCGTGATCGGCGCTGCGGCTCATGAGCTTCCCAAACTGACCTAACTTCAAACAGGCTTTAGAACTTAGAAGCAATGCATCAGAAATCACCCCAACCCTTATCTCGGCCTTCTCTGTGCTGCCTTGCATTTGTGTGGTGCCCTGCTGCACTTCGCACTATTGCTCCCGAGCAGCGAATCTTTCCGCAAAACCCACCAGAAGTATCCAGGATACCTTCATAAAATTTCAGCACGGCAAGCAACTTCGAATCCATGCATAACAGAGACATGGCATGCTGCACGACGTCCCCATGCTGCGACTGCATGGGAGTCTTCTTCTGCCCCGCAGAGCGGCAGACTACAGTTGACCTTCGGGCCAAGCTGCGTGTATGGCATCGAAACAAAGGGCCATCCTGGCCAAGAGGAAGCTGGCCCTATTGGCGCTTTCATTCTTTGATTGGCTAGTCACTCTCACTTGCTCCAAAGATCATGGAGTGGGAACTGCGGATAAAGGAGGGAGTCGAATCGGATGTCGCACGATTTCGTTCGCTGCAAGCACATGCGGAGGCACATAGCCCGGTCTTTGAAACCAGCACGGTCCTTTATGTGGATGCCGAAATCCCCACTGCTGGTCTCCTGGAAGATCCTCAGTGTCCCGCACTTGTGCAAGGTGCACAACGTCAGGAAACTCTGAATGGGGTTGCAGCTCAGCAGCTCCCGAAATAGTCGCGATGAGCCTTGGATCTGATGGAGGCCGGCCTGCCACGGATCGAGAGAAGCAAGGCTTCTCGCGAAAGCCGGCGTGCCGCAATCCGCGGGTGCACTCTTTCGGAAGCCAAATCATAATGCTCAGATTTTCAACCCTGCTGTGAGTTGAAGACCGGGCAGTGCCTCCTTCCTCGCCATGTCGGCCAGCACGCTTGGCCGTCTGCCTTACCCCTTGAGGTGTAAAAGGCCGCGCAGCAAAGATTCTATGATCCCGGTTCGTCCCGTCCTCCTACATCACCTGGGACATAGCCTCTGTTCCTCGCAAGTGGATCGTATTGCACAGCTCAAGATGCGGCGATTGTGGTGAGTGAGCAATTCCAAAGCATTCGACGGTAGAGCAGCTGCGGTAAGATACTGCCAGAAGTACCTTTCCTATGTTGTGTAATTTCCTTTAGGACATTGGCTGTGGTTGAAATCAAGGTCTCAGATCAGGTAGGACAGCCTGTGCCCGTCCTAAGGACATGAGAAACTTGAACGTGGCTCATATAAAATAGGTGTTCCAGTTCACGGCCATGCCACATTGAGCAGCGAAAGCTTGCCTTCATGGGCTTGCACTGCTCGTCGGTACGAATCCTGGTCTCGAGTCATCGTGCATGGCGGCCAAGATAGAGAGATGTGAGCTTAGCTGCCCAACTCGTCGTTGCCCTTCCATTCGGAAGCATCCCTCGTCTGAGCGTTCGGCTTGTACTGATCGTTCAGCACATCGATCGCATCCTGCCAACTGGGCAACCCCCGAGTCAGGTTAAACATGCGCCTGGCTCCATGCGATGCACCTGCTGCAACTAACTTGCACCGACATCTGCAAAACAAATCTTTTCTGCGCAGGGTCAGCCGACATCCGCGTAGCTTTGTAGAGCATCTGCGGTAGCCTTCCAGCGATGCTATGTTTTCACCAAACACGATGCCTCCGCAAGTATAACACGGACGGGGCTGGCGGCAAAAGCCTTAGGTATATGTATGGTACCAGTTTCCTTCCCGCCAAAGCCCACGTTGCCATGATGATGCCCGAAGTAGTTGCTACACGCTGCTTAGCCCGCACTCGCACAGTTGCGAGTTTTTAACTCTCAGAGAAAAGGATAGGTAAGGGCGAGTATACTGACACGGCGTCATGGGCCACAGGCCCTTCCATGCCGCCCGCGGCTGGCCATGCTTGTGGTTTTCAGCAGCCTTGCTATCACGCCCGTTTTTTCCTTTCCTCTTTTGTCTCCGCATCCACTCCTCCGAAATTACCAAAAAACGCATGCATCGGTGTTTGTGCGAGTATACGTCAGTACGTCACTACGCACCTATGTACCTTAAACGCACCTACGTACGAAAGGGTCATCGTAGCAATCAAAACGAATAGCAATCAGAATCGTCGTGGTCACCATACTAGCCACCATAAAAGTGAAAAGCCAACAAGTAGCATTTAGCCAATGGTTGAGTGCTGGCTTGCTGGCCTCGCCCCGGGTGAGCAGCGCAAGGTCTCCAAGCAAAGCTCGGAGCTTCGGCCCACGCAGGCGGGCGAGGCCCTGCTGGGCTAAGAGCCTCTCAGCTCACGGGCTTGAGAAGTGGAGACAAAAGTAGAAACGGAGTCTTTTGCCGGGCACTAGACTAGACGCTTCCGCTAGCTTGACACAGCGACAAGACTCCTCTTGGATTTGCCGCGGTTTCGCTGCGTACCCGTGCATGGGGGCCTGTCTGCAGCGGAAAGATGCACCAAGAAGGGCGCTCCAGCGGCAGCTCCGATGGTGGACATGTAGACCTGCTCGTGTCCTTGAGAGTCTTCAAGACATCATTCGACATCAATGTTGCTTACATGCTTGTAGTTGTGATTTTCTGACGAGCCGCTCTCCGCCAATGCTGAGAAAACCTTGAAGGTCTGAGTGTTCATGCTCCTGGGCGCTAAAAGTTCTCTCATGTCGCACAGCACGTGCGAATATCCGTTCATGCTGGAGCAGTCCTTCATGTTTGTGCGATTCTGGTTGACAGCTTGCTCAGATGAGGGTAGCTTGATTACCACTACCCTAATCTACACAGGCCAGTCCATCGAAAGCCAGAGTACAGCAGCAAACGCAATTTCAAGATGCCTTGGCCACGCGTGGAAGCTGGCAAAAATGGCTTGTGCCAAGCTGGAGACGTCACCTCGCCACAATTGGCTGACTAGCTTGGCACACATCACAACAAGAATCTGCAATGAAACACATTTCCAGAATGCCTTCGCCCAGCGAGAGAGCTCGCGACGTGAGCAGTCGTTGCAGGAAAACCAGCACAGGCTTGAGTACATCATGCCTGGCACAAAACAACAGAGCGATATGGCAGGTTACCCAGCGCAGCCTGCACAGCATGCATGCAGAAATACTCTGATCGCACCACGATGAACGGGGCGGCCGGTGGCTTGGACACTAACGTCTGAGCAGCACTTCTTGGCTCAAGCCCCTACACCGTCAACAGACTCGACATATCCAGTACACCGAAGCCACGACCAGGCTCGAACATGCTTCCAGAAATCTGTTCCCAGCGTGCCGGAAGACTCTACATGGAATTGCAGTTTGGTAAATGATCAGTCGGGTGCACTCTGTAGAGGCCAGTGCAGCCACCGAAAGTTGGGCCAGCGGCGGCACCTGTGACGCATGACACCATGTTGGGGTAGTTCGCAGCTTCAGCGAATCAGATATCCAGCACATGTCTTGAAAACCGCATCGTGAAGCAGAAGCTCCTAGTCGCATGCCGCACTCTTTTTAATTTTAAGATGCCAGGGCAGGCAGGGAACACAGAGGGAAGGGCACCATGCTTTTGCATCGTATGCGCTCCTTGCATCCAACATGCCCAAAGACGGCAGAGCGAAAGGTCTAAGCCAAAGCCACCTGTGGAGAGGCAAAGAGCGCATCACCTGTCCAATCGCACCCTATGACTGCCAGCCGCCTTCCTTCTGCCAACGCGATACTGTGTGCTTGCTTGTCGACATGTAGGACAAACAGTTACGAATGTCAGGGCCTGCAGCGGCCGCCAAACAGGAGCAAAGATCGAGGAAAGGGATCAGGTCCTGCCAAGACTGGACCGTAGCATCATCCCGCGTTTCAATCCCCCAACTGCTGGGCACTAGCAGGGACGCTCCTCTGCAGCGCGGCCGTGCTGTACATGTGTCCTGTATGCGGGTGGCTCCGCAGCATTTTGAGCGTCTGCTCGCATGTTAGCTTCAAGGGATCGCAGCGGACATGCGGCCAAGGCACAATGCCGCGCTGGAGATGACATCCTCAGATGATTGCAATCTTATGGAGGTTTGCGGACATGCGGTAGCAGCCATGCAACGGCCATGGACATTGCAGTAGCAGATAACTGGGGGAAGGCAAGACGCCAAATGAGGCATCACGTGGCTGCGTGCCAGGTCGGAATTCGCAGATAGCGCTGCCAGCGAAGACAGCGGAGCCAACTGCCCTTCCTTCAAAGTGCGTGCTCTGAACTGGACACCTCCGGCTCTCTACGATTTAAGGTTTGTAAGCCGTACGCGGCGCGCCTTGCAACAGGCCACAGCCAATGATGCCAGTCCCTCTGCCAGGGCCGCCTCCCAGGGCAGCGCAGTGCTTCATCAGTAACAGTACACGGAAACAAGGGGCCTGGACATGTGGATCTGATTGCGTAAGTGCAGCGCAGGCAAAGCAGCTCCAAGTCCCCGGACCCTGTATGCTCCATCTGGGCCTCGGGAACCTCTGCAGCTGCCATCGCAGCTCGACGCAGCAGTGCCAAGACGTTCACCTGCACGGCCACCTCGGGCAAAACGAGGCCGACTTGAGGTCTGCCGATGTGGCTTCCGATGAAACCAAACATGCATAAAAAGTCATGACACATATATATGTTCGTAAGAGGGAAGGTGCTGCAACTGAGAGTCTCGCAGTAGCAGCGAGGAGCTGCTGCAGTAGCACTTGCGGAACTAACTGAATCCAGCCAGCTTAGAGGAAGCTTGCGAGCATAAGGAACTAAGTTGTGACCTGTGCAAGCTGTACATGCAGCCGAGCTGCATCGGAGTACTCAAAGATGGGCTTTCCTTTTGCAGCGTCTTTCGTTGCTGGTGCGGCCATCAGCAGGGTCTGGCACAAAGGTGCTATAGATGACCTTGGCGTCCGTGGCATTCTTCAACTCCGACCCTTTGCGCAGGAAGAAACAGCTTTCAGGTGACTCGAATTAGACAGCCCTGCTCCTGTAGATCAGCCAGATGGAGCTAATTAAAGGAGCCATGCAGAGGCAATAGGACAGAGCTCGCGCCCGCCCTTGCGCTCTCTTGCGCGTGCAGGGGTTTTCACTGATGTCAACATAACCCCCTCACAAACAATCCTTCATGCCGCAAGCTAAAACGGTAAATTAGCATGCATTACCTGGATAAGGGATTGTCACACCTGGTAAACTCCATTACATAGCATTATATGTATTTGTATATATATGTATAACACAAAGCTATACATATGATATTATGTTGTGTATCTTGCGCCCGCCCTTGCTCGAGCTTGCGCGCGGACCGGTCAACGATGTTTAACCACGATGCCAAACCCTACTGCCGGCCCTGCTCTTACCACAAGAGGCCTGGGCCTAGAACGGCATCCAGATGACTCTAGCTTCAGTGGATGCCAAGCGACCAGTGCAGAAGCAGGAATCCTGAGTCCAGCCCAAATCACAGATCAGCCCCACTCTCAAGGGCGACCAGATAATCCTACCCATTGTGAGCTGCCAGGTGGCTGGCCAAACAACATGATGCAGTCCTGGAAGGGAGCTTGCTGTACCGGATTCTCATCAGCTTTGCAGGGCAAGGGGATCTCTGCATGACTACAGGCATGAAGCGAACATAAAGTCTGAGGCATGCGGCGATTCCATTCTAGCACAAGCAATCTAGCCAGCTCGTCGGCCTGGATGCTTTCGGCGCACCAGCCGTGACAGGTGCTGCGCCAGCCTCCTCCGCGACCTGGAAACGAGACGGGATGGGCACTATCACTGCAAATGCTCCGTCGCCAGAAACTCAAGCGGTTGGTGGTCGAGGTTCGCTCACACATCGCAGCAGCCGGCTGAGCACGCGATGGAAGCTTGCTCGGCCTGAAAGGGCATGCGGGGATTGCAGCAGCTTCAAGCAGCAAACGATGAGCTACCATCACACAAATGCTTGCTCACTCCAGAAGCTCAGAGCAACAAAATCGCCTGCTTCACCGGTAATGTCCAGTCCGCTTTTCAGCAGAATGCCAGCACCTCGTCTGACCAACAGCTGGCACATGCTCGCACGATGAAGAAGCGAGCGAAGACTGTCCAGCCCTGGTTGCATCCCAGCTGCCATCACACACGTTTGCAAAGGCATGGGCTGCTTGCTCATCTGGAAGGTCGCGCCTGGTGGCATAAAAATGTAGTTCTGCTGCTGCACTTGCTGTCGCAACACCAGGAGCCATGCGGACCGAGGCACGTAATGCCCACCAATGCACCATGAAGAGAAGCGTCAACTTCACTTGGCGCTGACTGTGCTACCTTGTGAAAACGATCCAGTGCTAAACTGTGGAAGAAGCACCACGTCTCAGCGTAGAGGCCTGACAAACCACTTTCAGGAACTCCTCAAAGTGCGGCAGCAAGAGCTTGCCAGCATACCTTGGCAGCGTGGATCGCAAGCCAAACTATCAAAAATGCTCCCAGTCAACTGAATACTATATGGTTGCCGGTTTGCTGAGGCTAGTGGTTGTCATCTTTCGTATTCACTCATGGTC